CTTAATTTATATTTATTTGAGACAAGTACCCCTACTGTTTTAGTTAGGGTTTCTATTGCTATGAAGAGACACCATAAACATGGAAACTCTTATAAAGAAACCATCTAATTGGTACTCACAGTTTCAGAGGTTCAGTCCAATATCATGGCAGGGAACATGGCAGCATACAGGCAGTAATGGTGTTGGAAGAGTAGCTGAGACTCCTACAGCTTGCCTTGCAAGCAATAAGAAGTGTCATACTGAGTGAAGCTTGAGTAAAGGAGACCTCAAGTCCTGCCACACAGTGACACACTTCCTCCAATACCTACTGCAACAAAGCCACACCTCCTAATAGACTCCCAGGCCTTTGTACTTAATATACCCAGAACACATCACATATTCCAAGGCTACCTGAACACTGCAATTAGCCCTTACGCATAACCTGTTTTGTGAAACCTTTTCTACTGTCCTCTAAACAGAATTTGTCTCTTCTATTACCATATTATCATTATTCACTACTCTGATGGTATTTGTCATATTTGTCACAGCTCTCTTTACCCAGCCACAATGAATTCCAGAGCAAAGTTTGCTTTCATTCATGTGTTTATCCCAGCACTTCACAGGTAGTAGCTGTTAAATAAATGCTGTCATATTGTGTTCAGTCTTTGTGGAGATACGGCATCTGTGAGTGAGATGTGTTACTGAGTACCTTCCAAGGTAGACTTCAGCTTTCCAGACAAAGCTTTTGCTTCTCAGATGTCTAAATTATGAGCAAAGCCACATGGACCTCCAAGGCCATAACAACAATGGCAATATTTTAGTAACAGATCAAATAGGGGAAACTTTCACCCCAATTAGTTGTATTTCATGCTCTACTAGAAGTATTAGTCCTTTTTAATCTTAAGTACACATATGATTACTGTGATACACCTGTCCAGTGTGAATTGGCAGGCTGCTTGCCTAGGATGCTCAAAGTCCAGGATCTTTGATTACCAGCATCTCATAAACTGGATGTGGAGTTGCAGACCTGTGATCCCTGGATACAGAAGCTGGAGTCAGGAGAATTAGAAGGTAAAGAAGAGGAACACAATATGCTTAAAATAGAATCCTTTCTTTTTTCCCCTTTCATCTTCAAAACTTAAAATTTTAAGAATAAAATAATAATAATAATAATTTTATTCTAAACATTTATTTTAATTTAGTATGAGTTAATTTAAAATTTATTAAAATTTAAAATAATTTTAGGTATTATACCTTATACACTTACAGAAGGGTTGACAGTGGGGAGACCACTGACTAGCCCTCTTGAAATAATGGCATGGGTGAATATGTCATACCATCAAGAAAGTCTAAACATTATATACTAAGAAGCTGAAGCAGGATCTAAAAAGATGAGATGTGAGCAGAAACTGATTGTGTGGGCTAGAAAACTGTTGCCTCTGCCAAGCAGTCAGTAGCAGGCTTGAGGTCCTTAGCAGAAACAGAAAAGAAAACAGGGCATTGGTAGCACACACCTTTAATTCCAGCACTCGGGAGGCAGAGGCAGACAGATCTCTTTGAGTTTGAGGCCAGCCTGGTCTACAGTGCTAGTTCCAGGAAAGACTCCAAAGCAATACAGAGAAACTCTGTCTCAAAAAAGGGGGGAAGAAGAAAAAAAAAAAAAAAAAAAACAAGAGAAAAGATCAACTGTCAACTAGAACCTAGCAGTATTCTATACCATGGTTCTCACCACTGCTAATCACTACTTTGAGAAAAACTTGCAGTTGCTTCTCTTCTACCTTCTTGAGCTCACAGATTGCTCTTGGGGCCACTTCTACCCACAAACATACAGGGCGATGGATTCTGGGAACTTTAGTTCTTTGCCAAGTTGGCACAGAATAAAGTATACTTCTAAATTTTAGAAAATGAATTTAGTTTCAATTTTACAAGCAGTGCTCTTTTGAATAGGAAAAAGAAGAGCTAAGAAAGAGCTTTCTGTTGTTTACAGAATTTCTGGATACTGCTTAGCTACACACTTTCAGAACACATTTCAGATACAAAAAAAAATTGTTGATTATAAATGCTAAGTACTGCTGAAATGTTAAAGTGATTATATGAACAGTTGTTTGTCTTCTTAGTGGCCAGCATATGTATTAGTCAGGATTCTCTAAAGGAACAAAACTGTGGGGCATGGTGGCACATACTTTGGAATGCAGAGACAGATGGATCTCTCTGAGTTCAGGGCCAACCTAGTTTACATTCCAACATACCAAGTTCCAAACAGCCATTGCTATACAGAGAGACCCTGTCTCAACAGACTGAACAAGGTGATGCAGACTTTACTCCCAGAACAAAGGTAGCATAAGCAGGTGGATCTCTGAGTTTCAGGCCAGCCTGGTCTATATAGTAAGTTTCAGGACATAGACCCTGTCTCAAAAAATAAATAAATAAAAATAAGCAACAGAACTGATAGAAAAATATAAATTAAAAGGGGATTTATTCACCATGCACTCAATATAAACCTATTAACACTGAACCTCATAGAAGAGAAAATGGGAAATACCTTTGAATGCATAAGCACAGGAGACCACTTCCTAAATAGAACACCAGTAGCACAGACATAGAGAGCAACAATTGATAAATGGGACCTCCTGACACTGAGAAGCTTTTGTAAAGCAAAAAAAATACAGTCAGCAAGACAAAATGGCTCCTACAGAATGGGAAAAGATCTTCACCAACCCCATATCTGACAAAGGACTGATTTCCAAAATATACAAAGAACTCAAGACACTAGACACCAAACTACCAAATAATCCAGTTGGAAAATGGAGTACAGATCTAAACAGAATTCTCAATAGAGAAATCTCAGATGGCAGAAAGGAAATGCTCAACATCCTTAGTAATTGGGGAAATGCAAACCAAGACAACTCTGAGACGCCATCGTACACTAATCAGAATGGCTAAGATGAAAAACACTGAATGTGGGAAAGGGCAACACCGGTGGAAGTGCACACCTGTACAGCCTCTGTGGAAACAGTCTACCTCAAGACCCAGCAATGCCACTGTTGGGCATAAACCCAAACGGGGCACAGTCACATCACAAGGACATTTGCTCAACTATATTCATAGCAGCATTATTTGTAATAGATGCCCCTCATCCGAAAAATGGATAAAGAAAATGTCGTACATTTACACAGTGGAGTACTACTCAGTGGTAAGACACAATGACATCCTAAAATTCATAGGCAAATGGACAGAACTAGGAAGGGAAAAAAAAAAAAAAAAAAAAAAACGCCCTGAGTGAGGTAACTCAGACCCAGAAAGACAAATATAGTATGTACTCACTCATAAGTGGATACCAGACATAAAGAAAAAGATACCCAGCCTACAATCCACAACATCTGAAAAGCTAGAATCCTCTTCCAGAAACAGATGGAAGCAGATGCAGAGATCTAACCATTGGGCCAGGCTCCTGAAATACAATTGAAGTGAGCGAGAGCGATAGTGAGCGAGGAGCGATAATATGAACAAAGGAATCAAGACCATAATGGAGAAACCACAGAATCAGCTGACCTGAACTAGTGAGAGATCACTGACTCAGGTCTGACAGATGGGAATCTGCATAAGATCGAACTAGACTCCCTTAGTATAGGTGACAGTGGTGTGACTAAGACAGTATATGAGGCCACTGGCAGTGGATCCAAGATCTAACAAATGCACAAACTGACTTAGTGGAGCCCATTCTATATGGAGAGATACATTGTTCAGCCTAGATGGGGGGGGGGGTGTTTGCAAGCCTGGGTGGTGCCTTGGTCCTGCCTCAAGGAGATGATGGGACAGACTTAGCAGACCTCCTAGGGGAAGCTTTGCCCTCTCCGAGGAGTAGGTGAGGGGGGGGGGGGAAGTGGGGCAAGCAGGAGGAAGAGGGAGGGGGAACTGGGATTGAAATGTAAAAGAAAATAATTAAAAAATTTGGAAAAAAAGAAAAACCAAAAATTAATTAAAAAAAAAAAACAACAAAAGGGTGTTTGTTAGAATGGCTTACAGACTATAGTCTAGGTAGCCCAACAACAACTATAGTAATATTTTTAATAATTCTTGGAGAATTTCATATGATAGATTTTGAACATATTCACCCCTTCAACCCCATTACTGTCTTCCCATCTCTTCCCACTCAAGTTGAGATTTCTTCTTCCTTATAGAATACAGTTTGTGTTGCCCAGGCACTCTTGGGAACATGACCTGTACTGGCATGTGGTCAACCTACCAGGAGTCTCACACTGAAGAAAGTGACACTGCCTCTCCCAGGAGCTTTCAACTGCTCTAACTCCTCAGGTTGTGCTGGGATTTGCTTTAACTGGTTATTTTTTCCTAGCTCATTTTTTTATGTTTTGTTAACTCAGTTTCTTTTATTTTTCTTTTTTAACATTTATATATTTATTGTGCAATTCTATGTATTTATATTCATGTGTACACAGGAGCCACAGAGCATGTGTGGAAGTCAGAGGACAACTATAGCAGTCCAGTCTCCCTCCACCATGCAGTGATGAATTTCAGGCCATCAGGCTTGGCAACAGGTGTCCTTAGCCACTGAGGCATCTCACTCCTTACCATACATTTTTTTCTTATTAAAATGTTTATTTAAGGGCTAACAGTTCATTTACATTAAAGTACATAAACTACTCTGAAGAGTATGTGTGTCTCATGGTTTTCTTCATGTCTACTTATATACCATTGTAATCACATCCAAATAAAAACACTTACCTCTCATAGTACTTTTGATTACCACCACCCCTTCCCTCCCCCCTCCACACCCCCCCCGGGGCTATTCATTCTTCCCAAGTAAACGTTCTTGTTTGTATGTATGTATGTATGTATGTATGTATGTATTTATTTATTTATTGTGCAATGGGTGATTCAATTTGGGGAATATACTGGAGAAAAGTTAACATTATCTGCAAAGTGAAGATATATATCAATGTGTCTCAACAAGTGCTTTGAATTACATCTCCTTATCACTTTCTGCTTTTACTCTATAACAGGAAATCAGATCCTGTCTCTTGGGAGTCTCTCAAAAGATCAGATTTATCCACTGAAACTCAAGGGCATTTCCATCTGCTATTCAGCCCTCAAATCTGCCTTATGTGGAAATTATGTCAGCTTTGGCGTCTTCAAGTTGTATGGGGACAACCATTTTGACAATGTACTCCAGGCCTTTGTGAAAATGCTGCTGTCAGTGTCCCACAGTGACTTGCTGGTAAGCACTCCTGTGCTGTGGGGTCTTCATGTGAAATGTGAAATACCAACACCATAGCCTGTAATTGTTACAGCGAAACCTGGGGAATCCAAACACCGCCACATTTTATGTTTCAAGACAGCATGCTTGCTTCAGACTTATCAGACCTGGACAGCTGTAGTGGTTATTTACATAATTCAACACACAGGCTAAAATGTCACAGCTGTCACTTCTAACCACTTGGTCATCCAAAATGCTCCAGCCTCTTCATATGAAAATAGACATAGTAATGTCAGTGACTTGCTTTCAGCTATATTCATGATTAAAAAAAGGAAATACAGGATCAAATGCAGAATTTTCCCTTCCTTTCATTCTACCCTTTAGCTTCTTGCTGTTTGGCCTTCCTTTGTATTAAAATTTTGGTATGGCAGACAGTGTTAAATTGAACATTGAGTAATCTGATAAGTGCTTTGAAGATGTGATTTTTTTTTATTTTTATTTTTTTTTTTTTTTTTTTTTTTTGCCTCTTTTCTGCTATGACATTTAGCTTCTGTGATGATATACATCAGTGATCTTTAAACTTTGAAACCTTTCAGAAATGTCTGGGATACTTTCAGGAAATGCGAAATTTCTACACTACCCTGGCTTTTCTCATCAGCAGTTTTTCTTTAAAACATTTTTGCCAGTTAATATAGAAGCTGTTGTGTGCTTGTTGTGTTCTCAGTAAGTACTTGTTAAAATAACCAAATTCAGCATTGGGTCAATTGATACTCTCCCATCTGCCCCGAGAAGTTTCATAAATGATCTGAAGAGCTTGTGTGAGAAGTGTTCCTAGACCTTACAGTGGACTAGTGTGCAGCACACCTCAAGCCAAGGTGTGATGCTTCCTGTAAGGAGTGAAATGCTCACTGAACATGGTACCTGTATGACAGCAATTACACAGTAGAAACTGGAATCATCAGTTACTATGCTCAGCAGCCTCATTGAGAGGACTTTTCACTGCAGTTGTAGTCCACCAAGAAAACTGGTTTCACTCAGGCAAACTGTCAATAATTCTCAAACCTGAAGGTACCTAAGACTGTATTTATTATATATGGGGAAAAAATGCTTTTTCAAACCTACATTTCAAAGATTTTTATTGAATGAGTCTGAAATAGGGGTTAGAAAACCACATCTTGAATAATCACACTTATGGAGATGTGGTCTCACTAGATGCTATACTGCGCTAGGTTATATTTGCCATGAGTGTTATACCTTGATACTGGTTTATGTTGTATTTGACATTTCCCAGGTACTTTCTCGTACACTTGTCTCTTGTCTTTCGAATATGATAAATAATAAATCATTTACCAAATACTAATTTAGTTAAATGGGCCTTGTACAAATATTGCAGACTGACATGCCATATCCATGTAGCTTGACATTTACTCTATCTCTTTGTGTAGCAATATCGGAAACTGAGCCAGTCTTATTATCCACTCCTGGAATGTCTCACCCAGGATCACATGAGCTTCATCACCAACTTGGAGCCTCCTGTGCTCCTGTATGTACTCACATCTCTCTCAGAGGGACTCACCACTCTTGGTAAGGATCATAGAAAACCTTGTTCTCCATGGGAAAATCTTGACTTCATTCTCCTCATGTATGTGTCACTGAGTTTCTTGTTGGATGAAGGAAAAGAAATGTTATCAACCCAGCCAAAAGGTTATTTTACAAGCTATTACTTGCAAAAAGGAAAATACACTTAATATTTTGGTAATTTTTTATCAGTTTTGAGATCAATTCAAATACTATCACAGTCCAAAAAGTTCTAACAGGTACATACAGTAAAGAATCACAACAGTGTATAAAATATTTGCATCACTAACTCCATTATGTCCCCATCAAATCTATACCTTAATGCTACTCCAAGGAAACTACTGTCTTTCTAGATTTTTATGTGGACTCTTAAAATAGGAAATCATTTGTATCTTGTTTCTTTTGTTTAACATAATACCTTTGAGAATCATCTATGTTTTCAAAACAGGGTTTCTGTGTATAGCCTTGACTGTCCTGGAACTAGCTCTGTAGACCAGGCTGGCTTTGAATTCACAGAGATCCACCTGCCTCTACCTCCAAGTGCTGGGATTAAAAGGTGTGCGCCACCACTGCCAGACTTGGAAACAAATTCTTAATCAGATGTTTTACAGATAATTTCAGTCCATGCCATGTCTGTGTTTTCCTATCAATATCGTCTGAAAAGGAAAAGTTTCTGTTTTAAGGAAATCCAATACTTTAGCCTGAAGCTATAAAGATTTCCCATTTTCTTCTAAGAGTATCATCAGTTTGGCTCTCGTGTTTAAATATATGACACATTTAACTTTTACTTGTGTTATAGGGATCAAGCACAAATTCTTTTTAAAACATAAATATTTGATTGTTATAAACATTTTATCTTTTGCTTACCTTTTACTAACTATATATCCTAATTTCATACTAGGTTTTACATGCTGTAGTACAGTCCTTTTAATATTTTTATCTTAAAAATTATTATAACATGAATTCTTTGTCTTTTCATAGAAATTTTAGAATTAACCTGTCAGTTGCTTGTGTTTCCCTCCCCACCCCCAAACAAAAGACTAGGAACATTTTGCTTAGGACTGCATTGAACCCTGCAGCTCCTTTTGGAGATAGCAGGCATATTAGCTATATTCAAGACCACTTCTGAAAAATTCCTTCGTTCTTCTTCTCACTAATATCTTCCTTAATTATAGCTTTAAACCTGAGTCTTTTGTTTATTTTGCTTGATAATAACCACATATTTTAGGTTTGTGCCACTTAAATGGTTTTGTTTTGGTTTTGGTATTGGTGTTTTGCCTGTATGTATGTCTGTATGAGGGTGTCAGATCTTCGATATATGAGTTCTGGGAATCAAACTCAGTTCCTCTGGAAGAGCAGTCAGTGTTCTTAACCACTGAGCCATCACTCCAGTCCTTAAATGTTATTCTTAAATTTTCTATCTTTCTTTGCTACCTAATAGAAATAATGTATTTTTTTAGGTATTGATGTTTCCAAACTTACTAATTGTGCTATAAATTAGCATAATATTTTAGATTTCTTAAATTTTTCTACATAGATATATCAGCAACTAAAGCTTTAATTCATCTTTTACACTTTATATACTATCTAGGACCTGTAAAACAGTGCTGGGTTAGGTTGGGGTTAGGAAAAAAAAACAATAATGAATAGAAGGGATCATACCATATACCATTCTGTCATCTCCAGGATGGGAAAAAGCACTGAGTCTAATAACATTCATGTAATGTTAGGTTTCTCATTAGATGCTTTTTATCCTAAGAATGTGAACAATTTCCCAACAGATTACAACATTGTGCTCCAGCAATGCAGAAAGGTTCCAGGTCCTTCTTACACCAATAATTATGAGGCTTTAAGTGTAATTTTCTGATATTATTATAATGAATAGCATTAAATTAACCTTATCAAATATTTTTCCTATAAACTGATGCTGGTTAGTTTCCTATCAGTGTGACATAAGCTAGGGTCATCTGAGAAAATAGAGCCACAGCTGAGAAAATGCTTTCATCAGAATGGTCTGTAAGCAAGCCTGAGGGACACTTTGTTAATTAAAGATTGGTATGGGAGGGCTTAGCCAATGTGGAGATATCACCTCTGGGCAGGTGGTCCTGGAAGGTATAATGTTGCTTGATTTTTCTTGTCCCACCAGGTCCCACCACCCTTCTCAGGCCCAAATAAACACGCAGGCGCTATATCACTTATAAAACTGTGGGCCAATGGCTAGGGCTTCTTATTGGCTACCTCTTTCTTAATTATTAACCCATAACTACTAATCTGTGTATTTCTACATGGCCTTATCTTACCAGAGAATGCCTGGCACATCCTGTCCTCCCATTCTCTACATGGCATCCCCCATCGGTATAAGAAAGATAGCTGAATGAGAACTGGAGAGCAAGCCAGTAATCAGCATCTCTTCCGTGGTCTCTACTTTAGTTCCTGCTCTGACTTCCTTCAGTGATGGAGTGTAACCTGAGATTTGTAAGCTAACATAAACGCTTTCCTCCCCGAGTTGCTTTTGGTCATGGAGTCCTAACTAGAGTAATACTAGTAAGAACATAGAGGGGGTTTTAATGCTAATGTACTGCATTAATGTTAATGATCATGCTCAGAGGTTAAACCAACAATGCATTCTTGGATTCAGGTAATAGAATTTTGATACAGATTTTTTCATTTATATCAGATATTGGTATATTCTTATATTAATATATTCTATAGTTCTTATATACTGTTCTGTTTTCATAACCCTGACATGTGTGAGTGTTAGTCTTATGCCTTCATTATATGAGATGAAGTTTCCTCCTCTGCTGTCTCAGTTTTGCATAGACTTGGACAGAGATTGTTTAATGTTGAATAGAATTCTCCAGTTCAACTGTCTCACTTAGATTTTCCTTTGGGCAGTTTTCAACCACAAACAAATTTCTTCAATAGCTGTTCCAGTTATCTCTTATATCATCAGGATATTTGGTTGCTTGTGTTTTTGTCCATCTTATCTAAAGTTCCTTTTACATCATTGCATAAGATTGCTCATAGTATCTACTGTTCTCCGGTGTATCATCTGTCTATAATAATCTGCCCATTGGTTCATGTATAATATCCACCTGCTACCCAGTGTTTATGTATCATCTGTCTGTCTATAGTCTCTACAGTGATGCCCTGATGCTGATGGAAATTGTGCCCTCTCTTCTTTTTTCTCATCATCATTCTGGCTATAGTTACCAGTTTTATTTGCAAAGTTTTCATTTTGATGATTTTTCCATTTTCTGATTTCTATTTTACTGAGTAGTTTTCTTTGGTTCACTTGCTTTCTCTTTTCTAGTCTTGTTTTCAGATGAACATATAGCTCATTGATTTTAGACCTTCAGGTCTTCATTTGTAATACATACACTACATCAGTACTACTATGAACGTGTCTCACAGATCAAATGTTTTCTGATTATTTTTTGTTATTCAATTTTAAAAATACTTTTTCAAGACAGGGTTTTTCTGTGTAGATTTGGTTGTCTTAGAACTCATTCTGTAGACCAGGCTGGCCTCAAACTCAGAGAGATCTGCCTGTCTCTACCTCCTGAGTACTGGCATTACTGAGTAAACCACCACCACCCAGCAATTAAAAATATTTTAATCATGTTTTACTTATTCTTTGAGGATCTCATAGCATGTGCATACAGTATATTTCTGTATCCACCCCACCCAACATATCCCCTTCCCAACTTCCTATCTTCTTTTTCTTACTCTCTTGAGTAACCCGCTAAGCCCAGTCAGAGCATGTCCGCACGCTCATGGATGAGGACCATCTATTGGAGCTTGGAAAGTATCAGTGGACACCCCAAAAGAGTAACCACTGTCTCCCCCAGCAGCCATCAACTGTAGTAGATCATTGGCTAGATGGGACTCTTGAGTCTCAGCCCAGCCTTTGCTTGAGTTGTGACTGGCTTGATCTTGCGCAAGTAGCCACAGCTACTGTGAGTTCATGAGTTCATTGTCTATGTCATATCCAGGAGACAGCATTTCACAGCACTCCTCCATATCCTCTAGCTCTTAATTCTTCTTGTCCGCTTTTCTGAGCTGGTCCCTGTGTCTTAAGAATTGAGAACTGGATATAGATATCATGTTGATCAGTTTTGAGCCTCTGCATTAACCACTTCCCAGGGCAAAAAGAAGCTTCTTTAACCAAAGAACAGTTCAGATCTGTGGGTGTAAGCATGAGCACCTGGAATGTAGACAGTACAGCCACATGTTGTCCCCTGATTGTCATTTGAGCAGTGGTGGTACCTTTAAATCATGTTGCTTAGTTTTCAATTACTTGCACATGTTCTTCCTTCTGTGTAGTTTGTTTGTTTTTGGTGCTTCCTTCTGTGTAGTTTGTTTGTTTTTGGTGTTAGAGGCAGGATTTCTCTGTGTAGCCCTGTCTGTCCTGGAACTCACTCTATAGACTACATTGGCTTCAGAGATCTACCTGCCTCTGCCTTCAAGACTATGATTAAAGGGGTGCGCCACCACACTTAGAAATTCAATGATTTTTTTCCTTAGCATTTTAAATTCATTAAGACTGTTTTATGGTCTAAACTCTCATGAACTTTACACAAGTAATTGTAATGAACTTATGTTCCATTGCAGTGAAGAGCATTTCTAAAGTGTCAGATCTAATTGATTGATGGTGTTCCAATAGTCACTCTTCTTCCATGCTGGTTGTATGATTTCTTTTACCTACTTATTCTGTGAACTGGCAATAGAAAACCACTACAGTCTGGCTATGGTTACAGCTTTGTCCTGGTCTCTGCTCAATCCTATCAGTGTGTGTAGTAAATACTTCAAGGCTTCTGTCAGATGCATGGGTATTTGAAATTACAGTATTCCTTTGATGAGTTTACCTTTTAATTATCACAAAGTGACCCTCATGATCTGTGGTAATATTCTTTTCTCTGAAAGTTCTGTCTGATAATATCTTGAGTTTTCTTATTACATGTATTTATTTGGGGGTGAGGTGCATGTGCCATAGTGTTCATGTG